TGTTTCACCTTGCATTTTACAGTGTTCTGTGCAGGTGCATCAGTGAGCTCCGGATTGGCTTGTTGGAATGCACTGTGCTTTCTAGCTCCAGACAGTGCTCTGCTTTTAAAGTCAGGAATTTTGGGGAATGATACAGATGTTGTACTTATGCATTTATATTAACTTTGTAATATACATGAACAGTTCACAATATACCTTATAGGATCCTCCTCAAAAGGATAGTTGTAGCTATCCTTTTAAAAGGCGAATTTTGTGTGTTTTGAACAGGTAAGCTTGTGTTTTAAGGAAAGGAGTGCCCCATACTCCGGTGTTTTATTAGGGAATATTTGCTCTCTGAACACACTGCTCCTCACATATAAAAATGTTATTTTGTAGGAAGCTATGATTTTAAAATAAGAAATGTAAACTCTCTAGTCAATTTTTGATGTGGTGCCAGAAAAGCACACTGCATCAGCATTTCATGGTCCAGCATTTTCCACATCGTATATTTTTTTTCTTAGCCGTGAAATTTCGGCAGATTGTTATGCAAAGCAGTTTTGTGCCTCTCTGTGACTGGGAAGACAGCTGTTAGTCCTAATGAGGAGTGCTAGCATTACAGTATTTCCGTTGATTGAGACCCACGGAGGGAACAGAATGTTCCAGATCAGGCAGTGGTGTGCGGTGAGAAGGTACCATACTGTCAGCTGGAAGTATATGCTCGGCTGCTCTCCACGACAAGATAAATGAGTTCTGCTGGAGTTTGGCAGAGTCTGAAGCTTTTCCAGTGAGCGGTTGCAGCTTACCAGTTTCCCCGTGGGACCCATGGTCCGAGCGTGCCTTTAAAACTACTGCCTCTTTGCCAATTCTTTTTTCTTTTGATGTCCTACAATACCTGTCAAGATTATGATTTATTAAAAACCTAATGTCTTTTAGCATTTCATTAACATGGGTTAGACGATCTTTTGTTGGGGCTTTATTTTTTTTTTTTCTTGCTTTTCATTAATTTGGCAGAGTGGTTGCAGAAATTTAACTTGGCTAAAACCTCCTGAAGACTGGTCCAGAGAGCAGTCAATGGGCATCTCTAACTTAAATTTTTCAAAGCTTAACCGGTAGTTGAAGTTCTTTAAGTTTCCTTCTAACCTTTGCATTTAAGGGATAGTATCAGCTGAACTCTCAGGTTATTCTTTATTTTCTTAAATAAAGAATTCAGGGGGTCAGTGGGTTGATTTTGTGGATTTAACCTTTCTCTCTGCCTACTTTTCCCCTTATCATATTTGGTCATGTGCAAGACTGTATCTTCCTTTATATCCCTCTAGATGTAGTACAGTGGTTTTCAACTGGGACAGTTTTGGCTCCCAAGAGTCAGGACATGTGATGGTATCTGATAAGCAGGAGCAGAGAGGCGGCTGCATCGTGTAGTGCACAGGATGCCTCTACAGAACATGGCAGTTTCATGCGGGGGATTAGCATAAGTGAAGTTACCATAGAGGTGTGTTTGCTGTGGGAAGACTTTCTTTCAGAAGGCAGATGTGCTATGTGAGCTTTCTGTCACCATCACACTGTTCCTGAATATGTTCCTGGGACCTCAGTGTTACATCTTAATTTGTTGTCAATTGCTTCTCGGCCTTTTGGCTAAGATCAAGTGTAATTTGTTGTCATTCATTGTTAAGTCTCCTTGGTTCTGAGTAGCTTTGCTGCATTCTGATACTGAATTTTTTAAAACTTTAATTCACTTAGAACTTGACCTGTGTCCATTTAAATTAAGATTTTCATAAATGGAGCATGATGGCTGAATAATGCTCCTCACATCTCAACAGTACAGCTTCAGTGACAGGAACAACTAGCATTTACATTGGAATTAGTAGGTTCCAAGCATTTGATGGATCTGACATGGATATGTGTAAATTAAGGATGTGGAAACCATGCTTATGTTCATATAAATTAATAATTTGCAAAGATAAAAGAACACCTTTCTTTATGGATACGTGGAAGTTTATGTGTGTGTGTTCTTGTAGGGCCATTTTAATGGTATCAGTGAATATTGAGGTGGTTTTAAGCCTCTCTACAGCATGAGTGACCACAAGATTTTGTGGCCGTTTCTGAGATGTCTCTTAGAAGCTGCTGCCCTGGCATCTTTGGATCTACTGATTATGGCCTGAGATCAGGTGACGTTTTCTTGGGTGAACCAATTGTGGTGAGAGTGATTGTTAACATATAGACTAAAATGTGTGATTGGGTCCATTCTAGGAAGGAAGCAGGTCCTTTTACAGCTTTTTGAAGAGATGAATGATAAAAATGCCAACTTGTCAGCGTATAACAAAAATGACTCCCAAGTACCCTGAGATATTCCTGCATGACACTGGGTTTTAAAGACTGTATGTGTAGTATCTCATTTCACTGGGCAATATGGGTATTTTACCACATTCTTTTTACCGAACTTTGCTAGTGAGCAGAGGTGATGGAATTAAGGTTTTTCTTCTTCAAATATCACCTTATTGTTTCTGTTCTAAATATCTTTTTTTTTTTTTTTTGACAGGCAGAGTTAGACAGTGAAAGAGAGAGAGAGAGAAAGGTCTTCCTTTCCATTGGTTCACCCCCCAAAATGGCCGCCATGGCCAGTGTGTTGCAGCTGGCGTGCTGCATGGATCCAAAGCCAGGAGCCAGGTGCTTCCTCCTGGTCTTCCATGCGAGTGCAGGTCCCAAGCACTTGGGCCATCCTCCACTGCCTTCTCCGGGCCACAGCAGAGAGCTAGACTAGAAGAGGAGCAACTGGGACAGAATCCAGCGCCCCAACCGGGATTAGAACCCAGGGTGCTGGCACTGCAGGTGGAGGATTAGCCAAGTGAGCCGTGGCACTGGCCAGTTCTAAATATCTTCTAATAAGTGACTGGAGAGGGAGGCCAGCAATCCTTGTTTAAGGAGTAGCTATAAGCATCGCTACACTCCCCTCCCCCCCCATACTTAGCTGGTAGAGACTTATGGTTTTATTTGAAAGTTTTAATTGGGTTTATTTGAACATTATCATTATGAGTTCAGTGATGAACACTTGTTTGTATTTTTAATTCAATTTCACCATTAGAATATTGGATATATTCTAACATTAGATTTTCTAATACTTAACACTTAAATGCATTTTCTACATTTCAAGAGCAAAGTTTATGAACTAACTGCAGTGAACTAACAATGCAAAGTTTATAAACTAACAATGCAAATGAAACAATTTTCTTTTTTTTTTTTTTCTAAAGAATCATTTATTTATTTGAAAGTCAGAGTTAGAGGAAGAGACAGAGATCTTCCATCCACTGGTTCACTTTCCAGATGGCCACAATGGTTCACTTTCCAGATGGCCACAATGGTTCACTTCCCAGATAGCCACAATGGCCAGGGCTGCACCAGGTCAAAGCCAGGAGCCAAGAGCTTTATCCAAGTTTCCCATGTGGATGCAGGGGCCCAATCCTCTGCTGCTTTTCCCAGGCCATTAGCAGGGAGCTGGATCAGAAGTGGAGCAGCCAAAACTCGAACTGATGCCCATAAGGCATTGGTTTTACCTGCTATGTCATAATGTGAGCCTTTATCTTCTTGTTTTAATAAAACTTTTGATCTTTAGTACATGATTCTTGTATTTCTCCATCAATTATAGGGTATCATCTCTTTCCATGAGACCTCTCCCCAAGACATGACAGATTTCAAAACATTTAAATTAGAAAATTATTATTATCTTGGATTATGAAAGCTGGTTCTGAGAGCATGCTTCTAATGTTGAGTTTTCCTCTCAAATTCTTTTCTAAAATTATTAAATATTATAACAAAGTTGACCATTTCAGTCATTTTTAAGATTATAATTCAGTGGCATTAAGTAAATTTACATTGTTGTGTACCCATCATAGCTGTTCCCAGAGCTTTCTTATCATTGCAAACAGAATCTGTATGCCCATTAAGTAATTCTCCATTCCCATCTTTCCCCCAGACCCTAATAACCTCTATTCTACTTTCTGTCTCTGAATTTATCTATTCCAGGAACGTTACCTCAGGGCAGTTCTGTGTTTTCAAGTTTCACTCATGATGTAGCATATATTAGAATTTCCTTCCTTTTTAATGGCTGAATAATATGGCATTATATGTATACAGCACTTTAAAAAATCCATCTGCTGATGGCTGTTTACACCTTTTGGTCTGTTGTCAGTAATGCTGCTGTGAACATCTGTTTGAATCACTCCTTTCAGTTATTTGGAGTATGTACCCAGAAGTGCAATTGCTGACGCTAGTTTCCAGTGACTGCACTGTTTTCCAGTCCCAACAGGAGTGCACAAGGGCTTTAACTTCCCACATCTTTGCCAATACTTGTTTCCTGCTTTTTTGTTTGTTTCTTGATAAAAGCTATCCTAGTGCGTATTACTGGTATCATTTTGATTTTGATTTTGATTTTGATTTTCCTAATGACCAATGATGATGAACATCTTTGTGTGTGTGTGTGTGTGTGTGTGTACACACATTATAATTATACATACACACATATATGTGTGTGTATATGTATGTCTTCTTTAGAGAAATATCCATTGAAGCCCTTTTAAGTTTTTGAATTGTCAGAGTAAGCTTTTTTCTACTTTTTTGTGTTCTGATTAGATTGAGAGTTGCAATTGGAGTTTTTTTTTTTTTAATTCTCTGCCATCAAACCCAAATATGTAGAAATTTTGGGAGGTTCTGTTCATTTCATGTTTTTTCTGGTAACTTCTTTTTGCTTCATTGCCTGGAGGTGGTAGATAGGGTGGTATGGGCTGTATTTTCCTCCTGAGAAGAAATCAGGTGTTCTTATTTTGTACATCTATGGGGAGAATTTAAGAAGTAGGAGAAGTTTGCAGAGTAGAAGGTAACTGTAGCTTGCATATCCCTAACCTCCATTCCATCCACACCCCCTATGCCTCTTTGGGAAGCAAAGTTGATTATCAGACAGCGTGGGAGGATGTGTTGTTGCATCCTGTACCCTTCTCAATGAGGCCTTGACCTCTCCCCTTTGCTTGTAGCACTGTGACCTCTGCGGTGTTCACCGTGGGAGACAACGTTGTTTCAGGCAGTGATGACCGCACAGTCAAAGTCTGGGATTTAAAAAATATGAGATCCCCCATTGCAACTATTCGCACAGACTCTGCCATCAACAGGTAAAGTAAATCAGTTCACTTACATAAGACATATTCAACTTGGCATGAAGGGTTCATTGTAATGCAGCGTATTATTCATATAGATTTAGTGTTTAATTGGTAGAGCCTTGGGACAAGCGCTTCAGACTCCTGGGAAAATATATTTTATTGAACCTGCAATGCAAATTTAGTATTTCATAAATAATTAAAGCTTATTCAGCATAAAACCAGATTGGTGTAGTAAGACTTAAACGAATAAGAATGAGCTATTTATGGCCAGGCACATGTTTGTGGGTGGATGTGAAGTTCTGTTTAAGTAAGTCAGTGTCTATTCTAATGCCAAAGGCAGACAATCCCTGGGTTTGCTAATGTAGTTTACCTTGAAATATGAATAAATATGGAACATACTACTACCTCGTTATCTATACTCAAAAATTTATTTTGTCACTTTTTTTTAATAAACACCCACTTTTATCTCTTCTTTGCAGGATCAATGTATGTGTTGGCCAAAAAATCATAGCTCTCCCCCATGACAACAGACAAGTGCGATTGTTTGACATGTCGGGTGTGCGACTAGCACGGCTTCCCCGGAGTAGTCGACAGGTAATGGACTGTTAATGTGTACTGTTAATACGTACTCACAAAACGTGTTAGGAAATGTGGAGTTTCGCATCTGAAATTATTGCTGTCTAAGAAATAGAGCAGCCATGTTTACAATTTAAAATTTTTCTAATAATATTAACAAAGGAAAGAAATTAGCTTTAAGAATGTTTTATTTAACCAGACATTACAAAAATATGTTTAACACATAATCAATATAAAAAAACCAGAGATATTTTATATTCTTGTTTTCTTACGAGGTTTCTGGATGTCATTAGAAATCCTTGTTAGAGTTCAAAAATTGAAAAAATAGATTCATATGCCCAAGTTGTTCCAAATTACTTTAGGACTTACCAGTACTCTATGTATCAGTTTTTTCGTTAAAAACTACATGAAATCAGACATTGAATTCCTCAGTTTTGCTAGCCACATTTGATGAGCTCATTAGCATATGTGTTGTTACTTTATTGGAAAGCATAGGCTTAGGTATTTGTGATTGAATTTCTTTAAATTGGAAATGTATGAAATGACAAGTGATTTGTCAGGCAAGAGCAATGTTGGTCATAGATACCCCGCCCCCTTCTTTTTTTAAGATTGACTGATTCATTTGAAAGAGTTACAGCTAAAAACTCTGTGTTTGTCAACATTTCCCCTGACCTTTGTGTTTTATTGAGCCCTACAACATAATCACTCTCTCTTTTGTTTTAATCTTTTGAGTGTCTTCATATCTGTGTGATGAGTAAGTTAGTTTATTCTGTTCCTTTAAAATGAATTCATTCTTTGATCCTCCTGTCAACATGCATGCATCCATCCACATTCTCGTGCCTGTGAGCATCAGTAGCTGGCCTGCACAGCATTCCCCGCTGTTGCTGCCTTCCAGCTGCTCCTCTGTTGATTCTGTATTGCTGTTGCCAGTCTCATTTCACGGCGTAAAGCCGCAGTGCAGCTCATGAACCATGAGCCAGCTCTGCACTAGATGTGTACTTCAAAAACTGTAGGCCAAGAATGCAGTGACAGAGTGTAAGTAAGGTGGTGATTTGCTACCAACATTCCAACACCTTTACATTTTAAAAAGAAATTATTTCAGAGTCAGGCATACTGAGGGCGTTCACTTCCTAAATACAATGCCTGACCAAAGCTAGCAGCTGGGAACCCGGTCTAGATCACCCATGTGGGTGGCAGGAACTATGTTGCTTGAGCCATCACCATGCTTCCCAGGGTACACATTAGCAGGAAGCTGGAGTCAGGAACCAGAGTTGGAAATCAGACCCAGGTAATCTGATGTGGAACACAGGCATCTTAACTAGTATCGGAACACTTAGGCTAGAGGCCTACCCCCACCTTTTCTTTAAGTGATTTGGACTTTCTGAAAAGGGTCCATCCTTAATACAAGGGTATTATAGCCATTCTCTTTTATGGTTCATAATTATACAGTTCAAAGTTAATATTGATCTTTATATTCTTTGAATGCACATCATAGAAAAATTATTCATGAAATTAAGAGAAAGGCTTCACAACCCCCTAACAAAGCCATCAGTTGTTTCTCTGGGGCAACTTCTTCGTTTTTAAAATGCTGCTAAGTATCATAGACTGCATCTTGCACATAGTAGAATATTGTCCTTTGAATGTGCTCTATGTGCATTACATAAAATAGCTCAGCAACATGTGAAGTTTGCATTTTGAAACAAATTTATCAGATTGTGTTTGACTTTATTACTTTGAGAATATTGTCCTGCAAGAAGGTAGGGAATCCTAAATGGTTCCATGTGATCCTGATTCCATGTAGACAATTTCATTTTTAATTAGCTATAAACATTCACTGTTGTTGGAATTATAGAATTCTGTTGTGATTGGGTTTATTCCCTGCTTAAATGGTATGTGGAATAGATTTAGTTTTGAAATTAAAACACTTAATTCATTTTGAGTTTGTAACACTTCTTCAGATAAATATGGTTTCAGTGTCACAGAACCACTGCTGGAAGTCACTGGTTTATATTGCTCTGACTTCTTTCAGCTGACTGATATTTCTAAAAAGAGAAGAAAATACTTATTTGAACTTTTAAGTAGCAGAAGGACTAATTTAAAATTATTTTATTCTGGAGATAGTGTAAGCAACATTTTCTAAAAGTGTGTTTTAGGGAAGCGAGATCTGTGGAATGTTGGGAGCAACTGAGGTACAGTTGTTTATGAAATGTTGGTTTTCAGAATAGTGACCAGGGTTCTGTGCTGCTGAAGTCCTGGAGCCTTCAGGGTGGGAGTGCATAGCATGAGCATCCATAGGTGGTCTGGAGCGGCTTTCCAGTGTTCATGGATTCTCTGAGTGGGTGATAACACAGTTCGCACAGAGACAAGGAAACCCCCGGGGGTGCACCAGCTGAGGTGAAAGGATGGACTTGTCAGAACCAAGAGGTGCCACTTCCAGCTTTCTCACTGTGTGCCTCTTGGCCATGGGAAAGTTTTTCCTTACCCACTTGTTAAATACCTGATGTCAGTGTTTCTAACAATGAATGCCTTGAGTTTATGTTTAAATTGTTCTTGTCCAAAGGCTTGGTTCTCTGGCCAGTTAGTGGATACATTGTTTCTTCTTTGTTTTTGATAATTAATGAGGAAATAATAGAAGATAACTTTTGTAATCCTTTGTAATGCAGTTTAATTTTTGTGGCCTATTAAAGTTCTCTTTCCAAATATGTAAATAGCATTATGTATTGTGAGTGCTTTGCAGAGGAACATTTTGTGCCTTCTTTGAGTCTCTTTTACTTAAATATGTCAGTTTTACTTAATAATGATTCTTGTGTTTTATTTTATGATATATTAGAACCATTAGTTGAATTTAGAAATGGAAATAGGTTCTAAACTGTTGCTTGCAGACTTTCTAAGTATTAGTTAGGCATTATGTTAAGTGCTTGTTTCTTTATGCATATATCTGTGTGCTAATTTGTCATAGTATAAACATCAAACATTTTGTAGTAATTTTCTCAACATTCTTATATTTAATTGGAACCCCCCAGAATGGCAGGAATCCACCTAAAGGACCATTTCTAAAATCCTTGTTTTGACACCAGATGTACTTTCTAGCTCCTTTATTACCGGAACTAATTATTTGTTAAAATGATATTTGAAGTCTTTGAGTGAATTTAATTTAACTTATTTCCAAATATCTTCTGGGCTCTTATATAACAGATTTTTTTTTTCCAGATTTGTTGTTTACTTTCTTTCTGATTGTATAATCTCACTCATTTTTTTTTAAAGGAAGAATCATCGTGCTCTTGATGCTAGTTCCACTAAATCTAGTCATTCAGCTGTTGTTCTGACTTCATGCATTCCATGCTGACTTTGCCAGTTTATCACTGAAGGCCCATTGCTGTGCTTGGTGTTTTGGGCTCACTTGGACTACTGCTGCTGTTAGTTTTTTTTTTTTTTAATTGTTTTGAGTGGTATAGTTGTCAATTTGGCTGAGGTTTTAGAAATCTTAGGTTTTAGGAATAATGTACCCATTTTGGTTTGTTCATTCACAGGGCCACAGAAGAATGGTGTGCTGCTCAGCGTGGAGTGAAGATCACCCCATATGCAATCTATTCACCTGTGGGTTTGATAGGCAAGCCATTGGCTGGAACATCAACATCCCTGCATTATTACAAGAAAAATAAGGTTTCTGATATTTCTTAGTTTCATGGTTTGCCATGGACCTTTGACTCATGCAGGCTTTTCTGCATATTAATCAGCCATTTTTGTGAGAGTTTGACCCTGGGAAGGGTGCTTTTTATATGTTCTTCTCACATTGTGCCAGCTTGCATGACATGTACAGAAAAATGAGTGGTCATATTTTTATTTTTGTCTTGTGTGTATATATTGGCATCCTCTGGTCAGTAGAAGTGAAACTCACCTCCCATGTAGCAGATAAATCCTTGTGAGTTGTTGACATTTGACAGATGAACAGTAGGGCATTATGTTTGTGTAAGTTAAATGTGAACCTATGTACTTATTATGAGGCATAAGCAGTCTGTTGCATTTTCTGGAATAATTATACATATCTACCTTTTACTGGGAGGATTGCAGAGCTACATTTGCATTGGCTAATGAGTGGCAGGAATGATCAAAGATTTCATGTCTACTTCTGTATGAAGTTTTAGCATGTGCTATGTGTAATTCAGTTTTAACTCTAATTTCCATTACATTCTGTAGAAATAACTTGGATATTAGCAGTTAAAAAAATAGCACAGAATGTTGAGTTTGCAACATTCTGAGAGTTTCTTTTGAAAAGAAAAAGTTTCTGCTCTTTTTATAGAAAATCATTTCAATCTCCTGAGGTCTCATACTAACAAATTCTAAAATACAACGATTCTAATCACCAATTTTAGATATTAAGCAAGATTTAAAGCACTTTAGTTTATAGCTGTGGTTATAAACAGTTTTTAGCAGTTTCAAATGATTTATCCACTGAATGTGACTTGACCTTTATAAGAAGGCTTGCTACCTGAAAACAAAATCTTATTTATTTACTACATTTTTGGTTTGCATATTTCTAAATGGGTTCACTTCCTTGGTGGTATTTGAGAGCCAACAATGCAAACAAATGAGTACTACCTCAAAAATAAATATTTGGAAAACTTTGGAGTCTCACTGTTGCCTAGCCGCACTTTTGATTCATAGCTGGAATACTGAATTCAATTCAGAAGGCAAGAAAGACAATCATATCAAATGTATCCCAAAGGTAAAAGGTTCTTCAATTAGTCTTATAAGGTAATAACTATAACAAATAGTCCCATAAGTAACCAGATGCTTTTGTCTTAAGTAGATGGGATACCTCTCAGTGCCAATCCTACAACTGCGTGAGTGAGCCTGTTATTCTTGCCTTCTTAGAAATTCCTGTTCATCTGATATTTGTAAGTTAATGTTTCTTATTGAGTTATGGTTTTGATAGAGACATCTCAGTTTCAACCCCTCATATTTTTAATTAGTTAAATATGGCCATTTGGAGGCTGATCGCAGGAGAGGCACGGGAAAATAATACTTCAAACTGTCATGGTGACTCCTCCCCCTTCTTCCCAGTTTCCTTCCTGTGTTTTCCCCTGTTTTGTGGTGACTCAGGAGCGTAACCAGCTGGTAACCAGTCAGTAGTCATTTGGTAAGATATGGGTTGTAGGATGTTCAGGTTATCCTTTGGTGTAGCTGACCAAGAATGAGAAACACCTCATTATTGGCACCTTTGACTAGGGTCTTGCAGGAGCTGTTGGTAGAGTCTTCAGATCGGAATCATTCAGAAATTCTGAAATGACTGACATCGCCTGGACTGGAAAGGAGAGCCCAAGAGCAGCTAGTAATGACAGAGAGTTGAGGGTGCTAATGAAGGACAAATGGCAAATGTTTGTGATTACTTTTACTTTTAAATTCCAAAGGTTTGCTGTAATTTTAAGTTCGACATCTTTACGTGATCACACTGTTTCAAGAACTGAAGTCAGACTGGTCACTGTGGTCGATTAGAATTTCAAGTTTCAGCTCTTGGTATCCTAAGTGTATTTTTGCTTGATGGAGTACTGTATCAAGATATTTGCTGTGGTCTAGTTTTATGTTATAGTGAGAGATCTGACTGCCATATCCCCTCCACTGCACTGCATATGCAAAAGCATGACTTCCAGTGATGAGCTGCACAAGCCATGTTCTTAGGTTCCTTGTATTTTAATTTGAAGTCTAGATGTCTTAGGATGATTTTTAGAAACGTTGAAATATGTATACAGATAGCTAAATCAAACTTATGAACCAGTTATCTGCCAGAATAAACAGTTTTGAAGCTCTTAAAGCATTCATTCATGATGGCCGTTTAGTTGTATGGCAGACTAGTGACCTTCACTGCCAGTAGCTGCTCACCTTCTCGCTAACTGGAGGGACCAGCCTCTGACACCAGAAATGAGGCTCTTTCACTCATTTCCACAAGAGGGCAGAAGACCCTAATGGTGCTTGAGCAGAGTTCTCAGGAGCAGGATATGACTTACTGTTAACTACTGTGTCATCTTCTAACATGATTTCATCCACTGCTGCTGGGACCATAAGATTGGGGAAAGTATATATGTGTGCGTGCACATGTGTGTGTGTGTATGGCTAAAATTAAATCATGTTATCAGTCTCAAGTGATCTCATTTGAAGCAGTATTTGGAAATCGGAACGGTTTTGTCCTATATACTGACGTGTCCAGAATTTCATTTAATAATGGAAGGAAAATGTGTAGTTACTAAATAATGTGTATTGATAAAGATTTCATAAGAGATATGTTGTTGAACAAAGCAACACTTTTCTCAACCACTGCACATCAGTTTATGTAGAGTCAGAATGTCTGTACATATTTTGAAATCTGAAGAATTCTGTGTAAATCATTTGTTACTTAAACCTGTGAAAACAAGTTTTTTTTTGGAGTAAAAAGTATGCATTTGTAAGTGTTATGTGGAATCAGTTGTTTTTGTATTGATGTAATTGTTTTTAAGTGTTCAGTGTCTTCATTGCAATATGAAATTCATTAAAACTTCCATGTTCTATAATTACTCTTACAAGAGTTTTATGTTATTGAGAGTCTTTTATTGTTTTTACTTTTTTTTTTCATGTTTTGCTTTAGTGAGATATTCTTAGTGGTTATAAACATTACAATAACCTAGAAATTAAACAAATTAATTATAATATTGCTCATTTAAAATAATTTAATTTTAGACTTATCATCAATTGAACTTTTTATATTTTATGACACTTTGAGAACTTAACCAAAAGCTTGCACTATGTGAGTGTTAGAAAACAGTCGTCGTTTTCTGTGGGAGAATGCAAGTCAAGGTTGGCAGTGACTCTGTTTACTTTGTTACATTCTGATCCTGCCGAGTGAAGTGTTTTCTTTGTTATGGACACCTGAGGTGGTGTTGTAGTACTACAGGGCATTTCTGTGCTTGTCAGGGGCTCCTGATTCAGACTGTGAGACTCACTGCCTGCATTCCATGGGCTTTCCGAGTACATTCAGATTCGAGGGAGAAATCACGTCACTTTTTCTTACTTTACTTTTCAGATGGCATGTGATTCTTGTCTAAATTTTATGATTACACCCCAGTTAACGTGAATGTACATGATACACTAATAACAGAAATCAAGAAGCAGGTTGGATGTTGGGCGTAGTGGGTAGGATGCCACTTGCAGTGACTGCATCCCGTACTGGCGTGCCTGGGGCCGAGTCCTGGCTTCACTTCCAAGTCCAGCTTCTGCTCATGCACACCCTGGGAGGCAGCAGTGATGGCTCAAGTGGTTGGGTCTCTGCCACCCCCTGGAAGACTGAGATGGAGTTCCTGGCTCCTGGCTTCCGCCTGCTCCAGCCTCTGCCATCAAAGGCATCTGGGGAGTGAACCAGTGGATGTTTGTCTGTCTCAATCCCTCTTTGTCTCTGTCTTTTAAATAAATAAAAAGAATCAAGAAGAAAATATTTGCATTGTTATGATTTCATCAAAATGCTGCTAAGACGTCTGCTCCCTTACTGTACAGGTTTTCTACTTCGTTCTCCTAATGAGTTTTTAAAACTAATTTGAAAAATTGGGAACACTTCTGCTGTTACATGTGTAATATAATATTTAGCCCATAATTCAATGAGAAGAAACTGAAAATGAGGTAAGAGGAAAGTCTTGTGTAGTTTAACAGTAATTTTATTAAAACAGCTTTCATTAAGCCAGCCTTGAGTAAAACAAAGAGATTGAATACATCTTTGGAGCTGTAAGAGCTCTGTGTGGAAATAGGTGATACCGTTTCTTGGGTTTCCATTGATGATTTGTAAGATAAGTTTTCCAAAAAAAGATTATGATTTCCAAGATAAGAGAATCACAAGGGAGCTACTTTAGAGAGTCTGGTCAGAGGCTTCTGTATGGAGGCGACGTTTAAACATGAAGCCTAAAGATTGATGAAATGTGTCTAAGAAATTGCAGGAGCAATTCTAGGCAAAGCGTAGGCCATATGTAAGCCAGAGCAGCGGGAGAGACATTGGCATATTTTAAGACTGAAATAACTGTGACCGAGCACAGTGTGAGGGGTGCGTATGCCTCAGGATGAGGTTGAAGTGATGAGCAGGCACCGTCTCATTTGGAGGCCTTGGGGACCAGCATAGGTTTTATTTCACATGGCACTGGCTTCCTCGTGGAGTTGGACTGGAGGGGTGAAGATCAGAAGCAGGGAGGCCATGAAGTCATACAGGCCAAAGGCTGGCTTCCAGGCTAAGATGGAGAAAGGGAATGGATTTGAGATCTGTTTTCGCACCTAACCCGAACTGACCAGTCAGCATCCTCCCTCAGACGTTTTGGAATTATAACTGAGGAGGTCAGTTTCTGATAGCTCAGAAGTAATGGACTCCAAGAGTGAGCCTAACTGTGTTTTTTGCCTGTAAAAAATAACATGAGGTGCTTCAAAGTGCAATAATGAGAAAATTACTAGAATTGTGTGCTCAGGAAAATTATCAAACATGAGTGTGAAAGAAACATCACTTGGGAGTAAACAAGCACAGTGTTCACTGATACACCTTTCTTCATGGAACGTCTGAGGAGATAGGGTCATTTAAAGCAGTTTCAAAACTGGCAAAAATGCCAAGGCATCTGCGTTAAAAAAATGTGTGATTAGAGTTCAGGACTTCAGTGTACTGTTTGATGAGGGACTGAGGTCGTGATTAGTCTTTAGGCTGGTAAATATGTATAGTAAAATTTCAGGGGTGAACACATAAAAACCACTTCTCAGCTCCCATCATTGTATGTGTCAATCCCTCATAATGTCCTTTCTAGAGAGTTCTTTAAAAAATCATAAAAAGTAGAATTAAAATATAAATTTATTTCAGTGCAAAACATGAAATCTGCATTTTTTGTTTTTTGTGTTTTTAGTTCCTTTGAAAAATAGGCATTTTCCATGAACTTTGTGAAGGCTACTCATATCTCTAGAAATCCAGTTGTTTCTTTTGCTCTGGAGAACCTAATACAATGACTTGTTTGATTAATGGTTCTAGGGCTACTGGTTATTCAGATGATGTGAAATACTGAACTTGGGCCGGCGCCGCGGCTCACTTGGCTAATCCTTCACCTGTGGCGCCGGCACCCCAGGTTCTAGTCCCGGTTGGGGCGCCGGATTCTGTCCCGGTTGCTCCTCTTCCAGGCCAGCTCTCTGCTATGGCCCAAGTGCTTGGGCCCTGCACCCACATGGAAGACCAGGAGAAGCACCTGGCTCCTGGCTTCGGATCGGCGCAGTGCGCTGGCCGTGGCGGCCATTTGGGGGGTGAACCAACGGAAGGAAGACCTTTCTCTCTCTCTCTCTCTCTCTCTCTCACTGTCTAACTCTGCCTGTCAAAACAACAACAACAACAACAACAAATTGAACTTGTATCCCTACCATACACCAAACAAAAACCAATTCCAGCATCAACTGTTAGAGGAAAAGTTAAAGGAGAAACATTAAAATTAAGAGAATGAATAACTTGTGTTTTTAGGCAATGAAACCATTGATTGGAATATAGAATACAGTGACTTTGAAAAGAACTATCTTGTGGATCTAGATGTGTGAATACTTCATGCTCCAGGAATTA